GACGTTGAGAGTCGGCGGAACCTGCTGCTGTACTGGCTGTTTAGTTCGTTTAAGCATAACGTAGCAAAAATTTTTTATTTTGCTTCTGCCGACTAGATTTTATTATTCAAAATATAAAGTAGGGTGACATGTGGATTTATCGCTGAACAAAACGTGATTCCATCTCTTTAAATAGTGTCCAACCACAGACCTTATTCGAGCTATTTTCCAAAAAGTTTCCTATGGAGAAATTGCATTGCGTTTTAGACGAAGGGAACAGGAAGAACGTTTTCACTTTCCGCGGTTTAAGGACGCGTCACTGCGGCTCGTCTATTGACGGGTAGATACACACGGATTGATAATGTCTCCGACCCCCTCCAGGAACACCCTGGCCGCACTTGTGCAGCAATATATATATTATATTATATATGATATATATAATATATATATATATATATATATATATGTCGTTAATAACTGCGCAATATATACCTGGCTGTTACATCTTAAAAACTGTTAGAGGATGTGTATTTTGTAAATTGTGTAACCTTTTTTTATTTTGTTTATCTTTAATATTTTTGCAGATATTATGCATGCTTCTTAGTTCATATTAAGCTGTCTTTGGTTATTTTCTTGCCTTAACAAATGCTAATTTCCCCTCTGTGGGAGGAATACAGGTATTCTGATTCTGATAGTTTAAAAAAGAAAAAGTACAATTCTTATTCATCATGTCAGAGTTTTTGGATTGGGATAAATAGGAGAAATCTGGTGTGTGTTTGAAGTCAGGTTTGAACACAGGTAAGATTAGGAGGAACCCATTAATCTCTCATGATCTCATAAGAGTTACGAAGTAAAAAAACGGTTAAGCACACTATAGGCAGTGGGAACTGATGAGAAAGAATGCCTTGGCTTGATGTTAATTTTATTTAGGTTTTACTTGCTAGTGACATGTTCACACATTGTGTACTTTTAAAACCGCTTAAAGTAAAAATACTTCTCACTCAAATGTCTACAGAGCCCACTAGCAATTGAAGCTCTATTTCAATCCAGGTGTCCTGTTACTGTAGTATGTGTTTATAAAATAGTCTCTGAATAGGAAGAACTATTAAAAAAGCAATATCCGCGGTGTCAGTATTTCTCCCTGTATTTATGCTTATTTTGAGGGGAAATATATGTTATGTGGTCAATGACAAAAGATGTACTGCGATTGAATTACAACAACCACAATGCATAGCAGACAATGACGTAGGGAGCACACACCTCTCACTGTGATTGGCTGATATTTGTATCCCTCCCTCCAGCTGAAGGTGAAGCGGGTCCAAGTCAAGTGTGTGAGCCGTGTCCTGTCTCTTAGTCCAAAAATGTCACCCAGTGGACTTTTAACCATGCGCGCTCAGATGTGTAAACGCCTGGTAAGTGAGGGTGTGCAAAACTAATGTGTGCGTGTTATCATTCTATTGTTATATTGCATATGATGCTGTAGTAACAGTATGGCTGGCTGTAAACAAAAAGGGCCTGCTCAGCTAGCATTTTAACTTGGTGTGTGTCGAGCGTCCTTGACCAAAGTAATGTAACAGCTTGAACACAGGTAGCTTGAACACAGGTGGCTCGAGCGCTTTAATTCCTTCATCTCATATCAAAACACAAGTAAGCTTCTCAACAACATGTTAACAAAACAGCATCTGCAGCAGCTAGCTTAACTGACAATATAAAACACCAGTTGACAAGTAACGTTATACGTTAGACAAACCTAGCTTAGATAACGGACCTTGTGGTGGGTTAATAATTCACCCACGGAACTATGGGTTGGGGTATTGTTCCGCACGGACATTTGAGTTAACCGGAATTGCTGTTTCCGCCGGTCATGTCTTCCCGGTATTGAAGTGTTCACATGTTTTCTTGATGCTTAATACAAGTCTAGCTTGTACTTTCGATACACCGCCTGCGACTCCCGTCTCTCGGCACTACAACCTTTACATTTAGCCAATTTTCGTCATAAACCAGCCAACTCTTGTGCTTTGCTTGTGTGTGTCCTTAAAGTTAGCATAGCTCACATACCAATACGTTCTGTACTTGATTGAAAAAACACTTAGTTTGTTAAAATTGTATCCAGGGCTTCAGTTACAACTTATTTAGTTTGATCCAGAATTGTATCCGGGGCTTCATATTGAACATAAGTCTTGAACGAAAAGGTGATTGTAGATCTAGGAAAGCTCTCCTGTATATAAAATGATTGATGACGTATGCTACATGTTCTGCTATTGTAGGCTCACAGGTACCTCTCAAGAACCTATGCATCTCAACCGGCACTCAATGTAAGTATGTTAACTGACATTTGAAATTCTCAGCACAATGCAATATGTGTAGTTCATACTTTTAATGCAGACTTTAAATGCATGTTTTCAGGAAGTTGTTATTGTCAGTGCGGTCCGCACTCCAATTGGCTCCTTCAGAAGCAGCCTGGCAGCACTACCAGCCACCAAACTGGGCTCCATTGCCATCAAGGGAGCCATAGACAAAGCAGGTATGTTCACAGAAAACAAAATTCCTCCATTTGAGCCAAGCTTCAGATGTATCATCAGCTGATCTTTATAATCATCACCTGTCTCATTTATAAAACAGTGCGTATGATCCAAACTAAAAGTGTACCTGTGCACAAATGTTGGGCAAAATATAAGGTTTAAAATACCTTTTTAAAAAGTCGTACATCTGGAAATGTGTGCAAATAAAAGTTTTTTGTATAAATGAGCCTACCAATTAATGGTTCTTTACAGCAAACCACTGCTTTACAGTGACTCACATAAACTACAGAGGAAGGCCAAGAAAATTATTTCTTCTGAAATCAAGTTGCTTTTGGGGAGGGAGGTCTCAAACCCTGCCTTTCAGTTAGTCCTTACACAATGTGTACTAATACGTTTACACACTGGTGGCTTCACAACTTTTGGTTATATCCCCCACCCTATGATATCATTGGTAAATGGAATTTTTATAGGTAAAAACTTTCTCTGCTTATTTAATTTAGGGTTTGTCAAGGCGAGCCCAACCTGCATTATGATTAGGACTCGTAATGAAGATATGGAGTGTAGTGATTTTGTGAGAGTCGTCCCTGGCTAAATATCCAGACTTTTTTCCTTATTTACGGCATTTAACATAATACACACAGTGTTCACTGCAGTGATTTTACACCCAAAACCCTCTTAAATCTGATATCATACTTGGCAACGTACAGTACGCACAGTATTGAAAGGTATTGACACTTTCTTCGGCTATTTAGTGGTTTCTTTGATTCCTAAAACCAATGTTGATGCATTTATGCGTCAGCCTAGTAAAAATGGTTTAGGGGAAAAGCAATATTCATTTATAGATATATTTTCTTACATTTTATTGACCAAATGACGAATCTAGATAAAAAAAAAAAAAAAATTTATACTAGGGCTGTACCCGAATATTCGAATATTCGTTCTTTGGCCAACTATTCGGGTTTCAATTTAATTATTCGGATATTCGTTTTTTATATTTAAAAAAAATATATATATATTTTTTTATTTTTCTAAATGTATGCTATTAATAAAGGCGAATTGCCATATTCTTATACAATATTTATACTTTTGAATTGTACTGTTAAAATGCGCAAATATATACAATCTCAGCCTGTGCTCCTGACATCGCGTTCACTCAGTCACGAACGCAAACGGCACGCTTCACCTCGCTTCACCTCGTTTCACCCACAAAATGCCAAAGACTTCAAGACGTACGGCTGCGCAGCACGTCCGCTCAGGTGTGTTTGGGAATTTCATGTGGACATCGCTCCCTTTTGAGGATTGTGTTCTTTCTATGGAGGGGTTTTGTGGAGCAACCACTTTGCAGTAGTAGGTAAACTAAGAAGGCCCATGCACGAATGAACAAAAGTCAATGTTGTTTTCAGAAGGTAGTAGTACACCCAAAAAAACATGACCTTGTTCGTCTTCACTCGAACACAAATTACGTCTGCATGGACCACAGGTGTGGAATCTTGAGACTCCGGACGGTAGTAGCTAGCCTGAAGTAGGGCCTCCGTGTGTGAAACAACTACCAACAAACGACCTCACGGCTCCCGTTCGGACTCTAAGTTTTGTGTATAATTTAATCGTTTTTTTTTGATTTATTTTTGTCTAGGCTTTATTTTACTAAAAATGGGGTGGCGATTCCAATACTAAAAACAAACGTTCAGACCGAGTCCTCTCAATAACTTAATTTGTTACCATAAAATAAGGACAATAAAGTTCCCATGGACGGCACACACTATTTTTGAGATTCAGTTTAGATTCGGACGAAGTCTATTTGGGCACACAGTGTACACTTCGACAGTTTACACATCACACGCCAATACGTACATACTACACACCGTGACGCCAAAAGTACGTTGTAGTTATAAAACCACGTTACGCTAAACCCTTACTCCCACTTTGTATATCGTCACCACCAGTATGTCATGGACGAGGGGTCGTTCCGGACAGACCACCCCCGGACAGGAAGAGGCGGACTTCGTGCAACGGGTACAATGTGAAGGAAGTGGAGGAGTCCTCGCTAAGGATTTGTGTTCTTTGTGAGTACATCTCTACTCTGGCCTGGTAATAAAAATTAATACCCATATTTTAATCCCGAACAGGCTTATGGTAAAAAGGCCCGAAGGCCTATAAGCCATCATTAGTCGTCGCTTATAAGCTTATAAGCAACGCCTCTCTAAACATAGAAAAAAATATTTTGTAAAAAAAGTTTTTCCAAAGTATTGTGCGAGGCTTAAGGCTCTGTGGACTGTTGTGCGACAATTCGTCTTCGCGTCTTTCTCGTATGATACATGCTAAATATATAAATAAATACAGAGTCATGAGCGTTTGTATTTTTGATTTACCCAGGAGACAACCCATTGAACATCGCCAGACGACATAACAACTCCTACAACTACCGAGCCCTACGCACACTACGTGTGTTCAATAATAATACGACTCGATGAGTTGAAATACGGCAACGGAATCGGGGTATACAAGCGGTGTAATGAGGATAATAAAAGTGTAAGCCTATTTTAATTTTTTTGATTATATTTTTCTTGATAAACCAACGAACGAACGTTGATAAAAGGTGTCGTTTCATTCACGTACAAAAATGTACACATTGCAATGACAAATTTGCCGCTATTTCGTCGAAGTAGTACCGTTTTTGATTCGATCCGATGATTGAATGTCGTAGGTCCACTGAAAAGTGCCTCAACAACACGGTGGCACCATCCGGTCAAAGATTAGCGTATAAACCGTGTATAAGAAGAATGGCAGCAGGTTAAAATTTTACCAGCGGNTTCAGTAGTCTGTCTGTTTTATCTCTTGGGAACAATGCCTAAATCAAATTACTACTTTCTAATGGTTTATTTTTCTAATAAACCTTGCATTGGGTTGGTCACACGACCAACCCAATGCAAGGTTTATTAGAAAAATAAACCATTAGAAAGTAGTAATTTGATTTAGGCATTGTTCCCAAGAGATAAAACAGACAGACTACTGAATAGACCCTCCAGAAAATCGCGATTATGCGATCGCATAATTTAATGCATAATCAGCAAAATGGCGCAGATTTTTTAAAAGGGCGCATATTTATTAAAAGGGCGCATAATCCCCGCATTCTTCCACACAAAGTTGAGAGAAAAAAAAGTTAACTCGTCTTGACGTGAAGTAGTGATGATGATGACGCGACGTCATCAGCTCGCGCATCACAGAAGGTAAACAACACGAGAGAGAAAACACCAAAATGAAAACATCTGATCCATCTCATTTACCGACGAATATTTCTGCTAAAGACCGGGCAAAGCAGTACCCCGATGTCTTTCACGAAAGTGGGGGGAAACTATTCTGCACCCCGTGCAACTGTGTGTTGGAGCATAAGAGAAAATCGACGGGGACGACCCACTTTGATTCATTCAAACATTCGAAAATGCTTTCTGCTGCTGCGGACAAGAAAGCCAAACAACTCACGTTCACCAAGGCATCAACCTCCAAAACCCTTTCGAGGGCTACAAGAAACGAAGTGAGTAGCCTACAAGGTTGAAGCTGGTCAGATAACGAACGAGTGAATGAAAACAGAATGAGGCGGAGAAGTGTGTGTATGTGTGTGTGTGTGTGTGTGTGTGTGTGTGAGAGAGTGATTAAAATAGCCCAATTGCTTTTACAATAAATAAACATTGAATGTGTTTAATTGAATAGGAAAGGGGTTTAACGTTAGCAGGTTGTGTGTGAGAGCAATTAAATAAGACAGCCCAATATTTAAAAAAAAAAATCTATTCTTCTTCGCAACTTCCCGCAATTTCACCGCATAAAGTCACATAAAACCCCCGCATGTTTAATCGCATAACCAATGATTTTAGCCAGCATAATCAAGGATTTTTGCCCGCGTTTTTCTGGAGGGTCTATATTTAGGCCGGATTAGCCTTTATTGGACAGTGACAGTGTTGAAAGGGGAGACCGAGAGAATGCAATGTGTAAACGGTTGCAGGCCGGATTCAAACCTGGGTTCTCCGCACAGTAACTGAGCCCCAATACATGGGCCGCCAGGTCTGAAAGGTGAGCTCTACGGCAGCGTGAAAGCACGAGAAAGTTCTTATAAGTTGAATTATTTGTGTGTTATATTTTGACTCCAGAAGGACAACATCAAGCCAGCTTCACTATCCAGACAAGTCATCACAATTACGATCAAGCTAAAAGCTTGAAAGAATACCAGTTGGAAAGGTCTATTTTAAAAAGGTGTCTGAAGTGGCTTAGAGAAACAATGTAAGGAGGCCAGGCAAATTCTTCTCAACAAACAATCATTTTACTGGATAGACATCAAACACTTGCTTCCCCTCTGGCTCCTGACCTTTGTCTATGAGCGGCAGGGTGCTGTCCTCGTATCCTCCGTTGGCCCTGGTGTTGTTGCTGGGGGGGTTGAGGTTGACCATGAAGTCAGTCTTCTTCCAGCCGTCCTTCTCCAAAGTGCGCCGCAGCTCCTTGTAGCCCCACACGGTCTGCAGCACCAGGCCGGCCCCACGCACCTCCCGCTCAGAGCGATTCCTGGAGAGGGAAGGGAGTGAGACATATTCTCACAATAACAATCTAACTATAGAAGCACCTAAAACATTGTTGCACGCTATGATTCTCTTAAATCTTCAGTGTTGCATAACCTGCTGGTCTCAAGTGAGACTGTGCTGAAACCAAGTGAGGTTTTTCATAAAAAGTGTTTGATAACAAATCCTTAAAGCACCCTGACTGAATGACTTTGCACAATCTGCCTTCTCATTTACAACAATCAAGCATTGGAATATGCTTCTAGCTGACCTTTAAACAAGCACAGACTTTCTTTCTTTTTCCCATGCTGCTACAAAATGGCTATTGAGCAAACAGTCATGCCTTGACTACAAATTGTGGCATTAGTTGCAATGAACTGTAACATTGTATATGTACTGTATTTATTTGTATTTCATCAGTTCTACAATTTTAAGTGTAAAACTGTTTAATGTTGTCACTGTTAGTTTCATTGTTAGTTGTGTATCTGCCCAGGGAGGGACTGCAGATAGAAGTTAGCAAATAGGCTAAGATCATCCGTTATTCTCTTATGATTATAGTATTTTTATGAACAATAATTACTTTTCTTTTTTCAAACTCATAATGGATGCAAGTATTTCAAAAATGCAGTTTTAACTGACGAAAAACCTGTAAAACACCTCTTTTAAAAATTGCACCGCTCTTCCACACCTAAATTCAGATACACCTAAACTCAGATATAATGCACATTATTATATTCTTTAATAGTAATTTAGCACTTATTTTTTTGTAAATCTATTTCAAATAATAGCTTTCAAAATAGTCCTACATTTTCTCCTTTTTTAGAGCCTAATTCCTCTTACTGTGTTTATCTATGCACCATTAAACACTAAATCAAATGTCCATGTGTAAACCTACTTGGCAATTACCCTGGTTGTGAATGTGACCCGGCAGAGAATGATCTCAAACATGAACCCTTACCCGTCCTTGTTGATGAGCACGAGTCTCTCGATCCCCTGCGAGGATCTGAGGGTCTTGGCGGACTCCAGGCTGGAGCCCAGCACCTCCTGGAGCGTGCTCAACACCGACACCACCGTCTCCTCCGACAGCGCTCGCACCGGCTGACTCTGCCCGCCGCCGGGCAGGTTGGCCACCAGGTGAGGCACTGCATGTTTCCCTGACAACAGCAGCATGAGAAGAGCGTTAAAAATGTTGATAATATACTTAAATACTGACGCTTTTAGCTCAGTCCCTCCTAGTCTCACCTAGGAGATCTCTGTTGCGAGCGTCGATGGCCATGTTGCGCAGGGCTCCGGACATGGCACGGACCACGCGGTCGTTGCCATGGGCGAGCAGCTCCGTCATCATGGGTAGCCCCTTCTCGTGCCGCAGCAAGGCGCGGATGTAGCGCCCATACTGAAACAGACAATTTTCCTTCATTAAATCAGAGCATTAAGTACTCTTTATGACAGACTGTTGCATTTTATGAGAGCAATGTGTGTATTTCCTGCTAAAGGAGCTCTACTGAGTAGACACACCACTGTGCTATAAGGGACCTTTAAGACTATCGTGTGAAAACGCATGATTCATGAGTCATTTTTTAAGTGGTCTCCTTTTACAAAGCAATACAATTATTTCTAACCTTTTCAATATATTCTTATATATATATATAAACAAGTGCGAAAGGACTGATTCTTAGGGATGATAATCACAAGTTACAAAGTGTTATCGATTCTTTGGCAATAATTATTTTTGATTTAAATAAATTCAGCCCCACAATCCCTTCCATTTGTATAAGCTCACATAACTACAATAGGGTTAGACAATTGTATTACTGGGCTCTTTAAGGTATTTCAATGAAAAACAATTGACATACCTCTAGTGCTTAATTTCTCACATTTAAGGAGGTGGGCTTGAACACAATGTGGAGTGGACATTTCTAAATAAAGGCATTTCTTGAAGATGATGATTATAACTTTGCAGTGATTGATATCTCCAGATAGATGCATTGGTACAACCCTACAGACTATTGTTAAATGTGCATAAAGTAGGTAGCTAAATTATAACAATGTATTATTATTTGAGGCAGTTAAGAATGGCAGTAGGCGTTTACCCTAAGGAGACTTATTACCATCCTGCTGTCCCTCCTCGAATCATCACTCAACATCACCGACACTGCACTCTCCTGGCTGAAATCCTACCTCACAGACAGACATCAGTTTATCAACATCAACATCTGCGCCTCCTCCACTGCTCCTCTGTCCCAAGGCGTCCCCCAGGGTTCGGTGCTTGGCCCCCTCCTTTTCATCCTTTACATGCTCCCCCTTGGCAAAATAATTTGTCGCCACAACCTTCAATTTCACTGCTACGCCGATGACATCCAACTTTATATCTCAACAAAAACCATCACCCCCACAACACACTCCACTCTCACCAACTGTCTCTCAGAAATAAAAGCATGGATGCAAACAAACTATCTCCAACTGAACAGTGCCAAATCAGACATCATCATCATCGGCCCCCCATTCCGTATCAAAGACATCCAGAATTTCAACTTCACCATTGACAGCCACACTCTATCTCCCCCCCTCACATCCGCAACCTCGGAGTCATTTTCGACAGTCAGCTCAAATTCAACCACCCCATAAATCACATCACCAGGACCGCCTTTTTCCACCTCAAAAACATTGCCCGTCTCCGCCCATCACTCTCCTCCTCTGCTGCTGAAACCCTGATTCATGCATTCATCACATCACGACTACTGCAATAGCATCCTCTACGGCATACCATCCAACCTCCTCATAAACTCCAACATATCCAGAACTCTGCTGCCCGCCTCCTCACCCACACCCGCTCCCGAGACCACATCACTCCCATCCTCCAGAACCTCCACTGGCTCCCTGTCCGTCAAAGAATCGACTTCAAAGTCCTCCTCATTACTTACAAAGCCCTCAACAATCAGGCCCCCCCCTACCTCACAGACCTGCTGCACCACCACACCCCTTCCCGCTGCCTCCGCTCATCAGAAGCCAACCTCCTATCCATCCCCACCCGCACCAATCACCGGACCTGGGGGGACAGAGCCTTCTCCGTCGCTGCCCCCTCCCTCTGGAACTCACTCCCACAACCCATCAGAGACTGCACCAACCTCACCACCTTCAAAAAACTCACCTCTTCAATCTGGCTTTTGATGTGTGATTGTTTTTGTAATATTTGACTTTAACTATATATATATATTGATTTGTTGTTTTTTTCTTTTCACTATATCTGTAAAGCGTCTTTGAGCATCTGTAAAAGCGCTAACAAAATACATCTATTATTATTATTATTGAACAACTAGTATTCAAACGTATCCCCCTCGGCGTTGCGCACCGCTCAAAGTTCAAGTTAATTCACTTTGACATCACAGACCTTTCCATGCTCAACCAATCAGATGAGAGCTGTATGTAGCAGCATAAGATAGCAGGGGAGCTAACCATAAAAGACAGAATCCCTTATTATGTGAATGCAGCTTAGGACAGTGCGTGTTTCATCAGCACAGGGAGTGTTGGATAAATAGGAAGAAGATGATAATGGATAGGAGGTCTTACGGTCCAGCGTCCGGCACACAGGTTCTGAACGGCTCCGGCCGAGGCCTCCAGTACGGTGGGGTTCTTGGACTCTTTTAGCAGAGAGGTGTAGATGCGAACCACCTCAGGCTGGAACAACAGCTCGTAGCCTGTAGGGGGGAAGAAGAGAGTGGGGGAAGAAAGTGAGGATAGCAGGAAAGAGAGAGGAAGATTAAGTGGTAAGCAAACGTATACATATTTTGAAGAAATACATAATTCCTCTTAGTTTTTATGTACTGTAAAAGTGTGTAGTTACCTTTAGCCGGCACGGTCCTCTTTGGAATGTCTATTATGTCTGCAGCTGCATCATCATCTTTCTTACCTGAAATTGAACATTACAGCTTTAGAAAACACACAGAATCTAAATATAATACATTTATTTAGATTAATTAGTTCTACTGTTTATTCTCTGAAATGAATGCTCTGACTGAACACTGAGATGCGTGAGGCGTGCAGGTTAGTACTACCGACCTGTTAGCTAGTCATCTACTACTCCATTACTTCGACAACAACAGGCAGCGGAAGCAAAGTGCAGTCATACAGAGGTAAAGAGCTTACCTTTGGAAAACCACTCATCTGTAGCCCAGCGCAGAAAGGGGGAGATAAGGAGAGGAGGACAGGAAGAGGAGGAAGAGAAAGCATTTATAGTAAGTAAGAGGAAAGCAGCCATAACTGAGCCACCCAGTTAACACCTGCTCAAATCCCGACAGCACTTCCTGCCACCACACACAGATCAGCAATGAGACATGCCAAGTGTGAAGGCCAATTAAAGCAGGTCATTTTATAAACACACACATCCTGACTGCTATGTATCAGTTTGTTGCTGTTATATGTTTCCGTTTAACCGATCTGAATATTATAAATACACAGAAAAGCATTTCATCCACAAACTAATAAACTGTGTTTGCTTTCAAAATGTCGAATGTTATCTGTTTATTGTCAAGCTTAAAAACCATTGATAGAAAGATTATATAAAGAATCATCAAGACATGTATGTTTATATTTCACTGAAAAGCAGGCTATTTCGAATAAAACGAGTACCATCAATAGACTTGTGCAACTAGAAAATATTTATACATTAAACAAGCCGACGCCGTCACTTTTGAACAATATTTTTTTGAGGAAACCAGTGCCTCCATTGTAGAGACAGAGTTGAAGTGGGGAGACAGAAGGGAAAACATAGATATTCGTATTTTACTTTTATGCTCAACATTGTTTCTGTATTGCCTCATTATATCAAAGTAAAAGGAACATTTCAAAAACAAAGGGGAAACTATGAGGGAGGGTATTAAAGCATCTGAAACATTCATACTATTGTGACAGATGCTGAGGGACTTTATAATAACATGGTCAAAGCCACAAAACAGTAGAAAGGGGGGG